TAAATCTGACTAGAGGAAACTGGAAGTCAACATAGGGAGTTAGTGTTTATACAGTTAGCTACAGGGACTTGTGGGTTTTTAAGCAGATGTGTGCCTTGCTGGAAACAGTACTCAAGGAAAATTATTCTGAGGGTAGATGTAAATTGGATTAAAATTAGAGCAATCATGATTAAATCTGTTAGGAGGCTGTTGTAAGAATGTAGTTATGAAATGATGAGGGTCTGATTTATGCTAGGCTTTCCACAGGAAACTGAAAACTCACCCCTACAGAAATCCCTTTGACAGAAATTTTCTCTGGATGTTTGTAGGTACAAACCCTCACTCTTCTTACTCCTACGTTTCCCCAGTTGTGTACCCATTTCTGGTGACTTAGACACATCTACGCACTGCTATCCCTGGTTTCACCTGCTCCCATATTACTAGTCCCAGGTTTTGGAACCATCCTTGTTGCCAGGTTTGTCTTTTATCACTTGTCTCACCTCTGCCGTCCTGGATTCCTTCTGTGGATTTTCCTATGACTTGTGTTATTCTGCTTTCCAGTCATTACAGTTTAATTCCCAGGCTTTTACTTCTTAAGTGGCTGCCTGTTCTGGAATCAGTGTATTATCCTTTTGTAGTTCCTGACCTTCTGCACTCTGCATCTGTCCACTCCAAAGTCCTTGCTAACCCAGCTCAACTCTTAGGTCATGCCAAAGAGAAGAGGTGAGGACTGGCATTGAGAAATACGCAATCATTAGCAGATATAAAGCCAAAGAGGATATCTAAAATAGGGGTTTGAAAGGAAAAAGGATATCCAGGATAGTTTAAAGTCACAGAAGCCAGTGTATGACACAGAGTCTGAAAGATAGGTCAGAAAAGAACCAATAGTTAGTATTTTTTATACTATTATTACATGTAATGGTCAAAGAAGCTAAGGCATAAAGCACCATTTTAGAGAACTAGGACAGTAGAATCAATAAAATACTTCTGTTTAGTTCCATTTGTTGGAACTAATGTTGTCCAATGTTGTCTGCACAAACCAGCAAACATTTTATTTGCCTATAACTTCCCAGGCAGATTCCCTCATAGAGTACAGAGGTGTTTTTTTGTGTGTTTTGGGGAGTTTTTTGGTTGTTGTGGTGGTGGTTTCTTTTTCCTTTCTTTCTTTCTTTTTTTTTTTTTTCAGAATCTTAGTCACGTTAATCAGTGTCCATTAAAAGGAAGATAAACTATGTCTTGGAAAGAAAGGACATTGGCCATGCTGGGGAAATAAATGATAAAACCAGGAGTTAATGTATATCAAGCCTTTCATGAGAAAGTGGATCTGAAAAGAATTTTCATCAAGACAATAAATATCCCTGGATATTATTTTCTTCTAATCCTTTTCTCAACACTATGAGTAGATTATATATTATTTATTTGGGCATTATTTATTGGTCTAATGTAGCTTTTGAGAATTGAGAATTCTATGCAAGGAGTCCTAGTAGGCTGAAGAAACAGACAGCTTTGAGTCATCAACTGCTGCATAACAACCCAAAACTTAGTGGTTTGAAGTAACAATGATTTATTGTTTCTCATAATTCTCTGTGCTGCAACTATGCCAAAACTATGCTACACTAGACACTGCTGTCTAAAAAAGGGGAATGAGGGGTGCCTGGCTGGCACAGTTGGAGAAGCATGCAATCTTGATCTCAGGGTTATGAGTTTGAGCCCCATGTTGGATGCAGAGATTACTTAAATAAATAAAACTTTAAAAAATAGTAAAAATAGAAATTAAAGGGGGAATGAGGGGCACCTGGGTGGCTGTTGGTTAAGCGTCCGACTTCGGCTCAGGTTATGATCTCAGAGTTCACAAGTTTGAGCCCCCCTTGGGCTCAGTGTTGACAGCTCAGAGCCTGGAGCCTGCTTTAGATTCTCTCTCTGTCTCTCTCTGTCTCTCTCTCTCTCTCTGCCCCTCCCTTGCTCATACTCTGTCTCTGTCTCTCAAAAATAAATAAACATTTAAAAAAAAAGGATGGGGGAATGAGATACGTACAACAGCCACTGGTCCATGGCAATTTGGAAATCCAGCCAGGTGCGCATGTTGGCAGGTTTCTCTGCCCTGGACTACTCTCTATTATTTTCCTTGGCTCTTGGCAACACCCTGTGGGCTCCTGGTTCTGCCCTCCGATGTCAGTATTCAGATAGAGGGAAGTGATGAAACAGTGGGACAGGTCTCCAGCAATCACCAATGTTCCCCAATTGATATGTAAAAACCTGCTAGAAAGTTTTGTGAAAGATGTTGTTTGTAGCAGCATTTGTTCCCCAGTAGCCCATCAAAACTTTGTTTTCTTTAGGTGAAAACCTAAAAGCCTGAAATTTAGAAAAGAAACATATTTTTGTTGTTGTTGTGCATCTTATGCTGGAAATAATGACCAGCTACCTTTATATTCTTTTTATCTTTTAAGCTACTAAATAGTTTGTTCCTTCAGTTAGATTCTTACACCTCCTCCCATCTCACTAATTCTTTTATCCACATTTTTATCTATACTTATCCTACCTTTGATAATTGCTTTTAGCCCTGTAATTTTTTCATGTTAATATGTGACCAGTGACAGCTTGATTTTCTGGTCCAGTGTATAATACAAACGTTATTCCACTTAATATCCATAATTTTCTCCTCTTGCTCTAATACACATGACACTTTGTACTTCTTGTTCTATGTCTGTGTATTCTGTGCATCCTAACTCTAATTTTATTCTGTGTACCTTGGGGAATATAACAATGGGAATAGATCAAATCACATTGCTTTTCCCAGTTTACTTTTTCTAGTCATGATAATGGAGATTAAAAATTGTTCCATATTTACTGTAGCTATAATATCAGTCACGTTGTCTGATGTCTAATACACAAATATAGTTAGGCTAAGTAATTTGTGGTTTTTTATTAAATGTTTTTAATGTTTATTTATTTTTTAGAGAGACAGAGACAGAATGCAAGTGGGTTAGGGGCAGAGAGAGAGGGAGACACAGAATCCGAAGCAGGCTCCAGGCTCTGAGCTGTTAGCACAGGGCCCGACGCGGGACTCAAACTCACGAGCTGTAAGATCATGACCTGAGCCAAAGTCGGACACTCAACTGACTGAGCCACCCAGGCACCCCATAAGTAATTTGTTTTGAAGAAAATACCTTAATTGACAGAAAAGTCACATTATAGGCACAGCATTAATAAATTCTGATAACATATTAAGTCTCTATTAATGTTTTATTTCCTGTGATCCTTTTAAAGTACTAATTCACGTATATTATTATTTTGAAGGCATCTTCAATCCTTTAAGTAGGTCTTTTTATAATAGTCATAATTATATATGTGACTGAATATATATATGTATATGTACTGAATATGTATTAAGTATATGCTAAATGCTTTACATAGATTACCTTATTAGATTACCATAACAAATTACTTAAATTGATTTGAAATCAGGACTGGCATACAGGCCTATTCAACTCAAAGCCCATATGGTGGACCATGATGCTATGTTGCCCGATAATGAGTATCCATGGCCCCAAAATGATCACTTGGCAACATTGGGATAAAGGAAGTTTAATTTATAATAACATTCTTATTCTGGCATAATTTACTTTACACCCTGAACCTGAAGAGCAATCCTAATGTATCTAATGTATATAATTTGATGAAATATATTTCTTTAAAAATTTTCCATATGTTTCACCATGAAGTTGTTGAATATTTATTGAGAATTTTCCAATTGTTTCTCCAGTTTGACAGAGGACTAAATATTGAACAACCTGGAATCAGTTTCTACAAGGTCTGTCTTACAAACAGAAAAGACAGATTTTTGAGATCAAATACTAAAGTTCATCAGTGAGAGAAAGAATAAAACATATCAAATTAATAAATACAATGTCAGAGGTAACACTAGAACATTCATAATCTGCTCTAAAAAGTACAAGCTCACAATTTTTGGAAAAATAAAATTCCAACTATCCATATTTGTCTTGAGTCAAATTCTTCAGTCTATAAAGTGAATGTATCACATACTTCAAGAAATATGTAGGGTCATTTTTACAATGCATCAAATAATTGTTTTAGTAATTGAAAATTATCAGTCTTACTAATGTAGTAGACAGGACATTATGTGATACCCTGTTATATCAGGTTTTCAAAGACTTATTTTTCTGAAGCGGTAAGTTCAGAAACTTCAAGTATAAGCAAAAATGAAATATACCAAGGACTATATATGTATTCTATATGGTGTATATATATTCTATTCTTTATAAAAAAGATTTGTTAAAAATGCTTGTGAAAATTATTTTCTCAGATTTCAAAGCCTGATATAATCATACTAGGCTACATTTCTCAGATATTTATATCATTCAACTATATTAATATTTAGTATCTCTCTGACATATGGATGCATATGTAAGTATATAAAAGATTGTATTCCTTCTATGTTTTAATATTCTTTATTAATAGATGACATTTACTTACATGGACACATTTTAATTAAGTTCTAGCTCAGAAAGTTTTCTGCTTTGTGATTAGTCTATTATTTGTCTAACTCTTTTATATTAACTCAATTTCAGGATGTCGATTAAAGTATTTAGATTGTCTCTGGTGGAAAGTTATATCTTTAAAAATTATCAGTGAAGGAATTGTTTTGTACCACAATGCTGGTAACTTTAAATTTAAATTATTTTCCACTATTATTCTTAGAGTTCTAAAAGTTATCTAGAAACTTTTTCAGTAAGAAATTATTTAGTGAAATTTTAGGGGCACCTGGGTGGTTCAGTTGGTTAAGCATCTGACTCTTGGTTTCAGCTCAGGTCATGATCTCACAGTTCATGAGATCGAGCCCTGTGTTGGGGCTCTCTCTCCTTCTCTCTCTGCCCTTCCCACTCATACACACTCTCTCCCTCTCTCTCAAAATAAATAAACTTTTCTAAGAAAAGAATTATTTATTGATATTTTTAAAAGAAAATATTTTTAATTTTATAAAAATATTTTGTATATTGCAGATATCGAAGCAGAAAAGCATACTAAAAAGCAAAAGGAAAGAAATGTCACCACACAGGTAGTTATTTTGCTAAACCATTATATTTCTCCAGTACAAAATTTAGGCTGTACGCACTATAAGTAGTATTTACTCAGCATGCTCAGAATTTCTTAACCAAGTAATTATTAGCTGTTGTTTCTGTTCTTTTTTTTTTCCATTCTCAGTCAATGCTTTTTGTTTATTCACTCAACAAATATGTATTCATTCTACAGTGAGAAGATAAGACTTCCTGAGCCTTCTCTTAGGACTTGTCTGAGGTCCTAAATATTAAGACAAAAAGACAGAGACCAGTCTGGCTTATGGTCACAGATGCTTATTAAACTTTATTAACGTCATGATTTCTTCTGACATCTGGAAGTAGGGGATTCAACATTTTCAGTCTATTCTCAGTCTAGCAACCAACATAATCCTATAAATGTAACTCCTTTTAAGTTGCTCCTTTACTTGAAACCCTTTCTTGGCATCCCATCTCACACTGTAAAACCAGCGTCTTGCCTATTAGGCTCTGTGGTCTGGCCCCACTATTTTTTCTCTCACATCATCTCCTACTACTGTCTTCTTTACATCATTCTGGACACACTGGGCTCTGTGCTATTCCTCAGAAACTCCTAGCCATGAGCCCACCGTTCTGCTCCTTCTGCCTAGAACATGCTGGAACTCCGATAACCATGTGGCTCCTTGCCCTCACCTTCTTCAGGTCTTTTGCTCAGATGTCATCTTTTCGGAGGGTCCTTCCCTGACTGTTCTGTACATTTGTAATCACACTATTTAAAATTGCAAGCCCCATCACAACACCTTCTGTCTCCCTTCCCTGCTACATCTTCCCTCTCAGAATTATCACTGTGTAACATCATATTTTGCTATGTTTGTTCTTATTCTCCCTCCACTAGAATATAAATTCCATGGGAGCAGGGTGTTTTGTCTATATTGTTCACTGCTATTATCCCAGCAACTAGAACAGTGCCTGGCACATAGCAGGCATTAAATAAATGTTTATTGAATAAATGAATAAATCTTAAATCTTGATTAAAGGAGGAAAGTTTGAAAAAATGTTTGTATAAATTAAAAATTCCTCTCTACATCATAACATTTTCTAAATTCCTCCAAATTTAGCTCCTTCCCATTACCATAACCAAAACATCCCATAATCATCAGTGGGATTATTATCTGCAGAAATAGAAGTGACCTTGGCATAAGCTCACAGTTTGTCCTTAGGCAGGTGGAAAGTAAAAAGACACCAATTCCTCAGGTCATCTGACTTTCCCTTGTGGGCTCTTGATATCTTGTGATATGCAGTGCCTGCCCAATGACAAATGAAAGTGCCCTTTGTAATTAAGGAGTTTCTGGAGACCAAGGATGTTTATCAGGCCCATAAGTATCCTCCCCAATGCCAGCATTAGTAGTTGAGGCATAATAGTAAAAATAGAAAGGACCCCAGCTCTACCCTTGTATAGCCAAGCAAAAAAGACATAAACTCTACTAAAAGATCTCAAAATATTGAAAAAACAAAATCAATGTCTTGATGTCAAAGATGAGAAAACATGCCAGGGTAGACTATTTGTATATCTCACCCACTTCCAATGGAGTATCTGTGTTTTGTTTTGTTTTGTTTTGTTTTGTTTTGTTTTGTTTTGTTTTG